AGAACAAACATGGAAAAGCAGAAGGATTCATCAATTTAAAAGTTATTGGTAAGCCCTTGAGTCACTTGGACTTTACTGGCAAAGCACAGCTAAAAATGTGATAATACACTAAAAAAAAAAACCTGTATATGTGATGTATATATGTATATTTCAGATGTTCCCGGGCCAGTACGTAACTTAGAAGTGACAGAAACATTTGATGGTGAAGTGAGCCTCGCTTGGGAAGAACCACTAAGTGATGGTGGAAGCAAAATCATAGGTTATGTTGTTGAAAGACGTGACATCAAGAGAAAGACATGGGTTCTGGCCACTGACCGTGCAGACAGCTGTGAGTTTACTGTCACTGGACTACAGAAAGGAGGAGTTGAATACCTATTCCGTGTGAGTGCAAGGAATAGAGTTGGCACTGGTGAACCAGTAGAAACGGACAGTCCTGTAGAAGCGAGGAGTAAATATGGTAAGAAGACTTTTTTAAGTAAATTGAAAAGTAACTTATCTTTGCTTTTATCTCTGAGATAACTGAAAGCCCATGTTTTCTTCTGTGATGAAATGCAGATGTTCCAGGCCCTCCTCTGAATGTAGCGATCACTGATGTGAACAGATTTGGTGTCTCACTGACATGGGAGCCACCAGAGTATGATGGAGGTGCTGAGATCACAAACTACGTCATTGAATTGAGGGACAAGACTTCTATCAGATGGGAAACTGCCATGACAGTGAGAGCCGAAGACCTGTCTGCAACTGTCACTGATGTGGTGGAAGGACAAGAGTATAGCTTCCGGGTCAGGGCCCAAAACCGAATTGGAGTTGGAAAACCAAGTGCAGCCACACCTTTCATCAAAGTTGCTGATCCTATTGGTAAGTTCGTCAAAAAAGGGGAAATAAGTACTCCACTAAATAAGGAAATTAAGCATATCAATTAAAATAAATCAAATTAAAGTTAATGCAAAGAACATCAGAAAAATTTGAACAAAATTGTAGAAATGCAGACTGTGCCTGCTTTTATCCTGTGACTACAGGGATGATCGAAATGATGACTGCATTGTCTTAAATAAATCTGTCACTGAATTAAATGGTGGGCTTCCCAGGTGGCACTAGTGGTAAAAGAATTAAATGGTATGCTCCAATTCTTTCTTCCAATCCAGAGAGACCAAGTCCTCCTGTGAACCTAAATGCCTCAGATCAGACTCAGTCCTCAGTTCAGCTCACATGGGAACCTCCTCTGAAAGATGGAGGAAGCCCAATTTTGGGCTATATAATTGAACGCTGTGAAGAAGGAAAAGACAATTGGATTCGCTGCAATAAGAAACTTGTCCCTGAACTGACTTACAAGGTAGGGCATGTGTATCTAAAATAAATAGTATATGATTGTGGACTTAAGTGTATATATATTTTTTACAAATATTGATTCCTAATTTTAGGTTACTGGATTACAAAAAGGAAATAAGTATTTATATCGCGTATCTGCAGAAAATGAAGCTGGTGTTTCAGATCCATCTGAAATTCTTGGTCCTCTAACTGCTGATGATGCTGATGGTAAATGGATATTTCACTGTTAGATTTGGGAATAGCTCGTAGCTTCTTTGGGGGTACTAGGATTGGAAAGTCATTAATTTTTCTCTTTGGTAGCTGAACCAACAATGGATTTAAGTGCATTTAAAGATGGTCTGGAAGTTATTGTGCCAAATCCCATCAAGATCCTGGTGCCAAGCACAGGCTATCCAAGGCCAACTGCTACCTGGTCTTTTGGAGATAAAGTACTCGAAGCAGGGGACCGGGTGAAAATGAAAACCCTGTCTGCCTACGCCGAGCTTGTCATTTCTCCAAGTGAACGTCCAGACAAGGGCATCTATACACTCAAGTTAGAAAATCGTGCGAAGGCAATTTCTGGGGAGATTGATGTCAATGTAATTGGTAAGGAACTAACCTTTTATCATATAAGGTGATTTGATGGTACTCACAAATATTGGTTCAAGCTATTAATGATTCTAAATTTTTTTTTTCAGCTCGCCCAAGTGCACCCAAAGAACTGAAATTTGGTGATATAACCAAGGACTCAGTACATTTGACTTGGGAACCACCAGAAGACGACGGAGGAAGTCCATTAACTGGCTATGTTATTGAAAAGCGTGAAGTCAGCCGGAAAACATGGACTAAAGTGAGTTTTGAGCACAGTGCACCAACTCCAGAAAAGAGAATGGGGGACACCCTGCGATGCCTCGCAAAGTTAAATGTTTTTACCTCTACACTGCTGAAAAAGTACCTCTGTCTTTTAAAATGTATTGATGCTAATGCTTCCTGAGGTAGTTCAACCAAGATTTGGTGTAATTGCATCATTCTATGAGCTTTACCAGATCTTCAGCTAGGTTTGTTAAAAAAAAAAAATAAAGCAAACCCTACTTATTTACTTAGTACCTGATTAGTATCCACTTTGTCCTTTTAAAAGGGCTATAAGCCATTCTAAGGACACTAAGTACTAAATTAACTCCCTGGTCATCATACTTCTCACTCCACTAGATAACCTTAGTTGGCCTAATCTGCCATTTTCTCTCCCTAGTTTATACCATTACTTTCCTTTAACCTTGATTTATCATACTTCTACTTGCCCAGTTGGTAGAAAGAATCAATACCTTATTTGCTGACTTTTTAATGCATATAAATTATGAAACAATTCCATCTTATATTAAGGGTCAAATATTATTTTGTATCTTTCTTTGCAACTTTTTCCTTAATATGAAATTAACACATGAATCATCCTTAGCATTCAAAACTCTGCTCATGGAAAAACCTTGACTTGAGCAGAGAGTTTTTGGAAAACAGCTAATTAATTGTCTTGCTTTGTCCCAGGTTACAGACTCTGTGACTGACCTAGAATTCACAGTTCCTGATCTTCTTCAAGGAAAAGAATATTTATTTAAAGTCTGTGCTCGTAACAAGTGTGGCCCTGGAGAACCCGCATATGTTGATGAACCTGTAAATATGTCAGCTCCTGCAAGTGAGTACATCCTTGATAATTTCTTACCTAGCCTCTTGTTATCTGTTTTTATTTTTTTCTTATTTATTTTTTGGCCACACTTGTGTGGGTTATGGAGCGGCTTCCCTGGTGGCTGAGAGGTTAAAGCATCTGCCTGCAATGCGGGAGACCTAGGTTCTATCCCTGGGTTGGGACGATCCCTTGGAGAAGGAAATGGCAACCCACTCCAGTATTCTTGCCTGGAAAACCCCATGGACAGAGGAGCCTGGTGGGCTATACTCCACGAGGTGGCAAAGAGTGGCTTATGGGATTGAACCTAGGTTATAGCAGTAAAAATGTGTAGTCCTAACCCCTGGACCACCAGGGAATTCCCACTTGTTTTTGCTTTAGACCTGGAGTTGAAGTTATGGGGGAAAGACACAGGTTGGCAGCATAGAGATTTCATAGATGGTCTATCTAAGCCTGACCCTCTCTCTTTAAAATGCTATAGCGGTACCTGACCCACCAGAGAATGTTAAGTGGAGAGATCGAACAGCCAAGAGCATCTTCCTAACATGGGATCCACCTAAAAACGATGGTGGTTCACGCATCAAAGGATATATAGTTGAAAAATGCCCACGTGGTTCTGATCGGTGGGTCGCCTGTGGAGAACCAGTGGCAGAAACAAAGTAAGCTTTTAAATTATTTGACATAAGAGTACTCTTACTACATGGGCTTTATTTTGGAAAGTCTAAATGTTAAGTTTAGAATTTCTTCTTTGGTGGGCCTAATTTTTTAAAGTGCTGCTGAACTTACCCTTTAATCAATATTTTTATTAATTAAAATATTGAAGCAATCCAGAATTAAAGGATAGTATTATACCAGGGGTATGAATTTTGGAAATATTATGAATACTCCACAATGGGACAGATGAAATGCCTTAAAGTAAAATATCTTCTTTTGTTCTCTGATAGAATGGAAGTGACAGGTCTTGAAGAAGGCCAGTGGTATGCCTACCGTGTGAAGGCCTTGAACAGGCTAGGACCTAGCAAGCCAAGCAAACCCACAGAAGAAATCCAGGCTGTAGACACACAGGGTACTTACTTTAGGTTTTTGCTTTATTAGTCAAGACTTCTGACTTTAACTCCACCTGAACTTGCTAACATCTTAAATAATCTTTTCCAATTTAGAAGCTCCAGAAATTTTCCTGGATGTGAAGCTCCTTGCGGGTATCACTGTAAAAGCAGGAACTAAGATTGAACTTCCTGCCACTGTAACCGGCAAGCCTGAACCTAAAATAACCTGGACAAAGGCTGACATGCTTCTGAAACAGGACAAAAGAATCACCATTGAAAACATTCCTAAAAAATCCACAGTGACAATCATGGATAGTAAGAGAAGTGACACTGGCACCTACATCATCGAGGCCGTGAATGTCTGTGGTCGGGCCACCGCCGTGGTAGAAGTGAACGTCTTAGGTAAGGGAGGTTCTCGTTTTAAAAATGAGCAAACTCATTCCAGCTACTTTTGAAAAGAAAACATGATTTTAAAATGTGGTTTTTTTCTGAGTATGTAATGCCATCCACAGATAAACCCGGACCCCCAGCTGCTTTTGACATCACAGAAGTGACCAACGAGTCGTGTCTTCTTACATGGAACCCACCACGTGATGATGGTGGATCTAAAATCACAAATTACGTTGTGGAGAGAAGAGCCGCTGATAGTGATATGTGGCACAAGCTCTCATCAACTGTCAAGGATACCAAGTTCAAGGCAACCAAGTTAATACCCAATAAAGAATACATCTTTAGAGTTGCTGCAGAAAACATGTACGGTGTTGGTGAGCCAGTTCAGGCCACTCCAATAACAGCCAAATTTCAGTTTGGTAAGTTTCTCATTAATCAGTTAGTTTAAAGAAAAAAAAAAGGATGCTTATGTTAAATGTATACTTAGTTGTCATATTTGTATAAAGGCTATATAACCCATCTGATTATCCTGTCTATAGATCCGCCTGGACCTCCAACTCGCCTCGAACCTTCTGACATCACTAAAGATGCAGTGACCCTCACATGGTGTGAGCCAGATGATGATGGTGGCAGCCCCATCACAGGATACTGGGTTGAACGATTAGATCCTGAAAGTGATAAATGGGTTAGATGCAATAAGATGCCAATAAAGGACACAACATACAGGTACGCCCAAGCTCTCCATCACAATGTTAAGACAGCAGTGCATACAAATTTTCATTCTTTAGCATTCCTTTTGAATATATTGATTATATATTACTATAAAAATTTTAATGATCTGATCTTTTCTATTACCATGTAATTTCAAAAAAGACATAAATTCCATTGAAGGACACACTTCTTAATTTCTTACCATAAAATATCAACTTTATGAAAGTTCCAAAGTGTTTGGTCCTCCAGTATATTAACGATTATTATTATAGATATTATAATTAGATTGGTACATGTGACCAAATCTTGTGTGTGACCATGAAAAGGCAATTTTTAATTTATATTGAAATATTTTCATTTAAATTGCTGAACCAATCTTTAAATAAATTACGTTCTTCTATGTGAAATAAATAGAATTTTCTGCTTTTCATCATGGTATTCAACTTACATTTTGTTCCTAATTCAGAGTGAAAGGTCTCACAAATAAGAAAAAATACCGATTCCGTGTGCTGGCTGAAAATCTTGCTGGACCTGGAAAACCAAGCAAATCAACTGAGCCAATCTTAATAAAGGATGCCATAGGTATGATTCATTCATTTTCTGTGATTGTTTTGAAGCTTATATTAATTCCTTTTGACAAACCTAAATAATGATTTCATTTCATTGGCTTGCAGACCCTCCATGGCCTCCTGGAAAACCAGTTGTGAAAGATATAGGCAGAACATCATTAATGCTGAACTGGACAAAGCCAGAACATGATGGAGGGGCAAAGATAGATTCTTATGTCATTGAAATGCTAAAGACTGGAACAGATGACTGGGTCCGAGTGGCTGAAGGAGTTCCCACCACCCAGCATCTGCTCCCAGGGCTCATGGAAGGACAGGAATACTCATTTCGAGTTAGAGCTGTGAACAAGGCCGGGGAAAGTGAGCCCAGTGAGCCCAGCGACCCTGTGCTTTGCCGGGAGAAGCTCTGTAAGTCACTTTTGATTATTTCATGTTTGCTATCTGGGTTCTTCTTAGTGACTACTAGAAAATTTAGTGAAGACTGAATATTGGACAATAAGAAATTGCCTATTTTTTTTTTCCTTCAGATCCCCCGTCACCACCTCGCTGGCTTGAAGTGATCAATATTACAAAAAATACAGCAGACCTAAAGTGGACCGTTCCTGAGAAGGATGGTGGGTCGCCCATCACCAACTACATTGTGGAAAAGAGAGACGTGAGACGGAAAGGCTGGCAGACGGTGGATACGACCGTGAAGGACACCAAGTGCACGGTGACCCCGCTGACAGAGGGCTCGTTATATGTGTTCCGAGTTGCTGCAGAAAACGCCATAGGACAGAGCGACTACTGTGAAGTGGAGGACTCTGTCCTGGCCAAGGACACCTTTAGTATGCTAACTTCATGTTTGTGACACCATTTACAGCAGATTGTCACTTTTCTCTCTGGTTTTTCTAACCGACGAAAATTTTGCTTTCAGCCACGCCTGGACCACCCTACGCTCTGACAGTGGTTGATGTGACGAAACGACATGTTGACCTGAAGTGGGAACCACCTAAAAATGATGGTGGAAGACCAATACAGAGGTAGAATGTTAATTAACTCATAAGGAAAAAATTACATCTGGCTGGAAATTCTTTATTAGTGTTAACAAAATGCTTGTTCTTTCAATAGATATGTCATTGAGAAGAAAGAAAAATTAGGTACCCGTTGGGTGAAAGCTGGAAAGACCTCAGGACCTGACTGTCACTTTAGAGTAACTGATGTCATTGAAGGAACAGAGGTCCAGTTTCAGGTTCGGGCAGAGAATGAGGCTGGAGTTGGTCACCCAAGTGAACCAACAGAAATCCTGAAAGTCGAAGATCCAACAAGTAAGTAGTGCTGATTTTACAAAGGATATTGTCCAGAGTTTGATGATGAGATTATGGATGCAAACATTTCACTGTCTTTTAAGGTCCTCCTTCACCTCCTCTTGACCTGCATGTTACTGATGCTGGGAGAAAGCACATTGCCATTGCTTGGAAACCTCCGGAGAAAAACGGTGGAAGTCCTATTATAGGATACCATGTTGAAATGTGTCCAGTAGGCACTGAGAAATGGATGCGAGTTAATTCTCGCCCAATAAAAGACTTGAAATTCAAGGTTGAAGAAGGTGTTGTGCCCGACAAGGAATACGTGCTGAGAGTGAGAGCTGTTAATGCCGTTGGAGTCAGTGAGCCATCCGAGATCTCGGAAAACGTGGTCGCCAAAGACCCAGACTGTAAGAACACAGGTTCTTTTTACAATACACACAGCAAACTTTACTCCTGCATTGCATTTTGACATACTCTTTTCTTCCCCCTCTTGGATAACAGGCAAGCCAACCATTGATCTGGAGACTCACGACATTGTTGTCATTGAAGGTGAAAAGTTAAGCATTCCTGTTCCCTTCAGAGCCGTCCCAGTTCCAACTGTTAGTTGGCATAAAGACGGCAAAGAAGTTAAAGCAAGTGACAGATTAACCATGAAGAACGACCACATCTCTGCACACCTCGAAGTTCCCAAGAGTGTCCGTGCCGATGCTGGCATTTACACCATTACCCTAGAGAATAAGCTTGGCTCAGCAACCGCCTCAATCAACGTCAAAGTCATAGGTAATCATTCTTTGATGAAATACCAGGTGTGCTTTACATGTTGGGAAAATTGGTTAACTCTGCACTGCTAGTAGAAATGGCTTCATGAGTTGGCTATTTGTAAACTAAATGTCCTTTCAGATTATTTCTTACCATATGAGAAGCAAAGCAATTCTAAAGAAATGAAATTGCTAAACTCTGATTACATTTGTTTACTTCTGTTGTAATTATTTGCATATGAAATAGCAATTTGAATAAAAGATATACCAAAAGAATGTTTAAATAACCAATATTCATTTATTAATTGTATTTTCAAGTTTTCATAATGTTCTCAACCAGGGGTGGTAACATTTTCTGCCCCTTCTCCCACACATGGTGGTGGACAGTGTTTGGAAATTTGGGGGGCCACTTTTGCTTAGAACAAAACTAAGGGGGAGCTACCGACATTTAATAGTTCAGAGTCAAGGATGCTAAATGACTTACAGTGTCCTACACAGAGAAAGTGTGTGTTCTTAATACCCAGCCTTTTCAGGTTATAATAATAGTTATCATTTTTATTTTTAATAGGCCTACCTGGGCCATGCAGAGATCTTAAAGCAAGTGACGTGACCAAGAGTTCTTGTAAATTAACTTGGGAACCTCCAGAATATGATGGTGGAAGCCCAATTCTTCATTACGTCCTGGAACGCAGAGAAGCTGGGAGGAGGACGTACATACCAGTCATGTCTGGTGAGAACAAACTGTCTTGGACTGTCAAGGATCTCATACCAAATGGTGAATACTTCTTCCGTGTTAAAGCTGTCAACAAGATTGGTGGAGGCGAATATATTGAACTGAAAAATCCAGTCATTGCTCAAGATCCAAAGCGTAAGTTTGGGTTGTGAACATCATAAAGCTAGGAGTTGTGCTTTTTTTTTTTTTAACAAGATGGGTTTCCCTATATTAACAGGTTTTATTCTTGTACTCCAGAACCCCCTGATCCACCTGTAGATGTTGAGGTACATAATCCTACAGCCGAGGCAATGACTATTACATGGAAGCCACCTTTGTATGACGGAGGAAGCAAGATAATGGGTTACATCATAGAGAAGATTGCTAAAGGTGAAGAGAGATGGAAGAGATGCAATGAACACCTGGTCCCAGTCCTGACCTATACGGCAAAAGGCCTTGAAGAGGGAAAGGAATACCAATTCCGTGTGCGAGCAGAAAATGCTGCTGGTATTGGCGAACCCTCTCGGGCCACTCCTCCAACCAAAGCCGTGGATCCCATTGGTAAGTCATGTTTAATGGGTTTGCCATCTTCCCATCATGAAAGAAATGAGAATAATGTTGACATAATGTCAGACAGGGCTTCCCAGGTGGCTCAGATGGTAAAGTGTCTGCCTGCAATGTGGGAGACCCAGGTTCGGTCCCTAGGTCAGGAAGATCCCCTGGAGAAGGAAATGGCACCCCACTCCAGTATTCTTGCCTGGAAAATTCCATGGACGGAGGAGCCTGGCAGGCTATAGTCCATGGAGTTGCAAAGAGTCGGACACAACTGAGTGACTTCACTTGAGACATTTTCATCAGAACTGAAAACAATTATTGCTCTTAATCATTACAGATGCCCCGAAAATCATTATGAAAACAAGCCTAGAAGTCAGACGAGGTGATGAAATAGCACTTGATGCAATTATTTCTGGCTCACCTTACCCAACAATTACATGGCTAAAGGATGAAAGTATTATCACACCAGAGGAGATTAAGAAGCGGGTAGAACCCTTGGTTAGGAGGAGGAAGGGTGAAGTTCAAGAAGAACAACCATTCGTCCTGCCTCTGACACAGCGTCTGAGTATCGACAACAGTAAAAAAGGAGAATCTCAGCTACGTGTCCGAGATTCTGTCCGACCCGATCATGGCCTATTCATGATCAAAGCTGAAAATGACCATGGTATTGCAAAAGCTCCATGTACCGTCTGTGTGCTAGGTAAGTAGGTAAAACTACACTTTGCAGTGGAAGAAAGTTAATATAAGAGTTCGTGGGGGCAGTTAAAAGGAGTGGGAAGTAGCTTCAGTCAGCTGTCCTCATTCTCATTTTCTTCTCCTGGCTACGTCAAAGAAAACTGACGTTGTTATTCAGTAGCTAATGTGATATGAAGACAGATGTAGGAAAAACAGAAGTTGATGTCACTGAAGCACATTCAACATTTACATTTTCCATTGCAAGCAGTGCTACAAAAATTTTTAACGTCTGTCTTTTAAAATATCAGATATACCAGGACCACCAATCAACTTTGAATTTGAAGATATCAGAAAGACCTCAGTCCTCTGTAAATGGGAGCCACCCCTTGATGATGGTGGCAGTGAAATTTTAAACTACACTTTGGAAAAGAAAGACAAGACAAAACCTGACTCAGAATGGATGGTTGTCACCTCAACGCTTAGGCACTGCAAATATTCAGTGACAAAGCTGATTGAAGGAAAAGAGTATCTCTTCCGTGTAAGAGCTGAAAATAGGTTTGGGCCTGGACCACCATGTGTTTCAAAGCCATTTATAGCTAAAGATCCATTTGGTAAGGTTCTTTAGCATCTAAACTTTGCCTTTTTATCATATGTTGCTATATACATTATCCCAGCTTATACACTTGAATTTTTATGTCATACTAGGGAATTAATTCAAACTTGCCTTTTTTTATTTTAATCAGAACCACCTGATGCACCTGATAAGCCCATTGTAGAAGATGTCACCAGTAACAGTATGCTAGTGACATGGAATGAACCAAAAGATAATGGAAGCCCCATCTTGGGTTACTGGCTTGAAAAACGTGAGGTGAACAGCACACACTGGTCTCGTGTGAACCGAAACCTTCTGAATTCTTTGAAGACCAAGGTAGAAGGCCTTTTAGAAGGACTCACCTATGTCTTTAGAGTATGTGCTGAAAATGCAGCTGGACCTGGAAAGTTCAGTCCCCCCTCAGACCCCAAAACAGCACATGATCCAATCTGTAAGTAATTCCTTAAGAAGAAAGAGGGTACTGCGTGGTCACTATAATTAACAGTACTGTTTACTGCTACTTTTAATTTCTAGTTTTCAAGTTTTGTATGCTTGAAAGTTGTTAAGAGAGTAGATCTTAAATGCTACTAAAAACTGGTAATTATGTGAGGGGATGGTGGTGGTAACTAACGTTTCTGAGGTAATCATTCTGTAATATATACACATATCAACTCATCACGTTGTACACCTAAAACTTACATACATTATATGTAATATCTCAAAGCTGGAAAACAAGCTAAATACTAGCAGTAACTACAGACATATGTTGAGGTTGCAGTGTAAAATAATAAACATTTGTATATATACCTTAAAAGTTTCAGGTTGCAATATTTACCCATATTACATGTAACATACTGTGGGGAAGAAATGGGGTAGCATAAGCTACTGCACATTTTCAAACCGTCGGTGAGTTTTGATTTCTGTGTGTGCATTCATTCTAGCTCCACCTGGGCCACCCGTCCCCAGAGTCACTGACACGAGTTCCACAACGATTGAACTGGCCTGGGAACCCCCAGCTTTCAATGGTGGTGGGGAAATTGTTGGCTACTATGTCTATAAGCAGCTGGTTGGCACAAATGAATGGTCCCGCTGCACAGAGAAGATGATCAAGCCCCGTGAGTACACGGTCAGAGAAATCCGAGAGGGTGCTGATTACAAACTTCGAGTGACTGCCGTCAACGTTGCCGGTGAAGGGCCGCCTGGAGAAACAGAACCTGTTACTGTGGCTGAACCACAAGGTACTTAACAGGGACATGAATAAGATGATGGATATTTTCCCAGGATAATATTTTTTTCTTCCCCATCTTTCTGGAGCTAATGTATGACTCTTCTCTTTGAACAGAGCCTCCAACTGTGGAACTAGATGTTTCTGTCAAGGGTGGAATACAGATCATGGCTGGGAAGACTCTCAGAATTCCAGCTGTGGTGACTGGCCGTCCAGTGCCAACAAAAGTGTGGACCATTGAAGAAGGCAAGCTGGATAAAGACCGTGTTGAAATAGAGAACGTTGGGACCAAGTCTGAATTAATCATCAAGAATGCATTGAGAAAAGACCATGGCAGATATGTGATTACAGCTACCAATAGCTGTGGTTCCAAATTTGCAGCAGCCCGGGTAGAAGTTTTTGGTAAGAAATGTTAACGTGGATTTCCATCGGGTTTTCTTTAAGCAATACTATCTTACTACATTGATTTTCTGTTGTCACTGTTTTATTTTTCAGATGTCCCTGGCCCTGTTCTTGACTTGAAACCTGTTGTAACAAACAGAAAAATGTGTCTGCTTAACTGGTCTGATCCAGAAGATGATGGAGGAAGTGACATCACAGGCTTCATTATTGAAAGAAAGGATGCTAAGATGCACACTTGGAGACAACCAATAGAGACTGAGAGATCTAAATGTGACATCACAGGTCTCCTTGAGGGACAAGAATATATGTTCCGTGTGATTGCCAAGAACAAGTTTGGCTGTGGCCCTCCTGTTGAAATAGGACCGATTCTTGCAGTTGACCCACTAGGTAAAAGAGAAAGTTTTGTGTTTATAAAGTGAACATTGATTGCTTGTAGTTATGTCATTTATGTATGGAGTTTTATGGCTTCAAATTCCCAACAGTCTCCAGATTTATATTTGGAGTATTGAGAAAGGTAAAAACCAAATAACTACAAGCAACTGTAAGGATACCATATTTACTGTAATTTCAGTGTAATTTTTGGCATGGTTTTATGTGGTGAAAAACTTAAATCATTGGAGCTTAGCACAAATGAAAAAAAGACCAAAGGAAATCTCCTTGACTGGTATGAACAAATATGAAGCTCTAATATGGCACACAACTGGTAATGCCTGCTGACATCCCATTCTAGAGAGCAAAGTCTTTGTGGTTCCACAAGAGACAGAGGAATTATTCATCCACCACCACCACCCAAAAAAACAAAATTACCTTCTCACTGTAACAGCCCATCTCAAAACTGCTGCAGCTCAAGTTGTGCCAGAAAAAACAGAACAGAGTTGGACTTAGACAGTAAAGCTCTGCTTCTGGTTGCAATAATAGTCAAGAATGGACTGGGTCTAGTTTCACCATTCTGAGCTTATTCTTTCTATCTTATCCTTCAGTACACAGAACTATAGCAGCATCTCTTAAATTCTCTTTCCACCCCTAAAGCAACACTTGAGGCAACATGGTTCAAAATATATTCAGTAGACATATCCATTTTCTGTTAATGAGACAGGAATACTTTGCTCTCAGCTGGTCATTCAAAGCAAAATTTCACAGACAGCCCTCCTAGGTCATTAAAATTAGCTTTCTCAGTGACAGAGGTAAAACATCTAAAATGCTAAATATAAAAAAAAGGATACATGCACCTCAATTTAATCAATAATCTTGACTACAGAGTTTACCCAAAAAAAAAAAATTCTGCCTATATGAATTGCCTGTAATTTTGGTAATTAAGATATTTTGAGGATTTTAAAGACAGATGTAACATTATGCCAAATAGAAGCCTACTTTTTATGTAATTTGAAGTGAAATGTGATTTCATACATGAATATTTGTCTCATTCTTGTCATTTCAACCTACCTCTGATTAAAGGTCCTCCAACATCTCCTGAGAGGCTCACATATACAGAAAGGACCAAGTCTACCATCACCCTTGACTGGAAGGAGCCCCGCAGTAATGGCGGCTGCCCCATCCAAGGCTACATCATTGAAAAACGGCGTCATGACAAACCTGACTTTGAAAGAGTTAACAAGCGCCTCTGCCCAACCACATCTTTTCTTGTTGAAGATCTCGATGAACACCAAATGTATGAGTTCCGTGTCAAGGCCGTCAATGAAATTGGTGAAAGTGAACCATCCCTGCCTCTTAATGTGGTCATACAAGATGATGAAGGTGTGGAATCTATAAACATATTGGTCATTTGAATGCATTTTATCTCACAGGTTGTGTAAACATCCTTATGACTGTGCTGTTTTTTTCCCCCACTTGCCCTTCTCTTTGCAGTGCCTCCAACTATTAAGTTGCGCCTGTCTGTTCGAGGTGACACCATCAAAGTTAAGGCGGGAGAGCCTGTTAACATTCCCGCAGATGTGACAGGCCTTCCGATGCCTAAGATTGAGTGGTCCAAGAATGAAACTGTGATTGAGAAACCCACCGATGCACTTAAGATAACTAAGGAAGAAGTTTCCCGAAGTGAGGCAAAGACTGAGCTTAGCATTCCCAAAGCAACCCGGGAGGACAAAGGCACGTACACGGTGACTGCTTCTAATCGCCTTGGTTCAGTGTTCCGAAATGTCCATGTGGAAGTATATGGTAAGCGATATTCTTTCTTATAAAAGAATGAAATCCAGCATCTGTTTAAGAATTTCCTTCTCAGTCTCCTCCATTGTCTCCTTTTCAGATCGTCCGTCCCCACCAAGAAATCTTGCTGTTACTGACATTAAAGCTGAATCTTGCTACCTAACATGGGATGCCCCTCTAGACAATGGTGGCAGTGAGATCACCCATTACATCATCGACAAGCGCGATGCAAGCAGGAAGAAAGCTGAATGGGAAGAAGTTACAAACACAGCTGTAGAGAGGAGATATGGGGTAAACTCTTCTAAGTATTTTCTTATGCACATTAAAAGGACTTGAGTCTGAATAAACACCATTCTAGCATGACCTTGGAATTTAATGATTAAACTTAAAACTCCACACAAAAATCCTTAGTTTTTAGCACCTTGCACATAAGGCCCCTTAGTAATTTCTATTTGATATACAGATTCTCTTTTACTTGAGAGACAAATTATTAGGTTCAATAAATGTATACATTCTCATTTTAAAAGACTCTCCATGTTTAAGTGTATGTACTCAGATAATTGAGTCTATAGATTTATTTCTTTTTACAGTCTTCCCCTATCAAATGACTTGAATTTTAAAACAAGTGAAAATCAACATAAGTATATTGTTTTTAAGAAATTATTTTTCATCTGATTTCTAGATCTGGAAACTTATCCCCAATGGTCAGTATGAGTTCCGAGTTAGGGCAGTGAATAAATATGGAATCAGTGATGAATGCAAATCAGATAAAGTGGTCATTCAAGATCCTTACCGCACTCCTGGACCTCCGGGAAAACCAAAAGTTCTGGAGCGCACCAAAGGGTCGATGCTAGTGAGCTGGACTCCTCCTCTGGACAACGGCGGCTCTCCAATTACTGGTTACTGGCTGGAGAAGAGAGAAGAGGGAGGTGCCTACTGGTCACGTGTTAGCCGAGCACCAATAACCAAAGTGGGCTTGAAAGGCGTGGAATTTAATGTTCCCCGTTTGATTGAAGGTGTTAAATACCAGTTCAGAGCAATGGCAATAAACGCTGCAGGAGTTGGCCCTCCCAGTGAACCATCAGACCCAGAAATTGCGGGAGATCCCATATGTAAGTATGCTTCCATCTCTGGAATATATCAAGGGCAGAGCCACTAAATGGATAACTGTGCTGTTAAATTTCTTGTATTTATTCTCGGCCAAGTTATTTTATTTATTAAAAGTTTTGTACTTATGTAGACTGTCAAAAGTATATATGTATGTGTGTATACACATATACACACACTAAGCACATGTATCTAATATGTATATATACATGTGTATGCATACACATAGAGAAACTTATAAGGTTTTTAAACACTTAGATTGAACCTAGTATTGTATGAGGAATCACAATAATAAAGACCCTGGACTATATAGCTCCTCTTTGCTCCCATATTTAAAATAAACCTCTGCCTCCTTAATCAGCTGCTGTGGAAATTGTCTCTCTCACTAAACAGACCTTCCAGTAGAAGTTTAACAGAAACAAAAAGTTGTTAAATTTTCAGTAATACATATTGAACAAAGATGTAAGATCTTCAAGCATAGTCTGTGAAGTCAAATAAAAAGCAATTCTGAAAGATCTATAAGCATATCAGTTCAAAAATTAAAATACTGTGGCCTTAATGATTAATACCATGTGTTGTATGTATGGATTTTCTGTGGAAAAAATTCAGCTATTTGTAAAAAAGACTTAAAATAATCTAAATCCTATATGGAGCATATATAAAAAATGAAGTATTCATTCATTCTGCAAGCTAGTATTAAATATATGCAATGTGTAAAGAACTATCTTAGGCACTGGAAAGGCCTATCATTAAAAAAGATGAACAGAGTAAAAGAATTTCTGTAATTGTAAAGCACTGTCAGAAATATAATGGATTGTTACGTGATGAGGGACAGGGTCAATGTCTACAATACAAGGCATTAAGAATCAGTTTGTGTTTAAAAGTTTACAGCTAATGATGAAGTCACTTTTTAATTTCATGGTAGGTTATATTAAGTTTTTAGTATAGAATATTGCAGAATCTCTTCAAAGAGTTCTCAAAAGTAAAATAGCTTTCACCAATCATGTGTAAATAGAATAATAATCTATCAGGAGCTAGCTAGTAGTCTTTCTATCCTGGTTAGTTGTTTGCTTTCTTTCTTTTAGCATTAATGCTAAATGAAAATAGACTTTCTTATATTTCTCTTCTCTAGAAGGTAATTTATTCCTTTGGCACTCCTATTTTAATATTTTAAAAATAAAATATGATCAGACATAGTAAAATATTCTTAAGTACATAAATCTAGCATCTCATCAGCTTCACGTTTTGATTTTTTTTTTTCATTAGATCCACCTGGGCCACCTTCTCGCCCAGAAGTCAAAGATAAAACAAAGTCAAGCATCACACTAGCATGGAAACCTCCAGCCAAAGATGGTGGCAGTCCAATCAAAGGATACATTGTAGAAATGCAAGAAGAAGGTAGTACGGACTGGAAAAGTGTAAATGAACCAGACAAACTTCTACCTACCTGTGAATGTGTGGTGCCAAACTTGAAAGAGCTCAGGAAGTACAGATTCAGAGTGAAAGCTGTCAATGAAGCTGGTGAATCTGAACCAAGTGATACAACTGGAGAGATTCCTGCCACTGATATTCAAGGTACTAGTCCTTAATCCATTTTTGTATTCATCTTTTGATCTCATTATGAAATTGATTCATTTACTGAAGATGTGTCAGTTACTTTTTTGAAAAAGGTGAGCTAAATCCTGTTATATTATCCATGGTATTACAGAGGTACCAGAAGTTTTCATTGACATTGGAGCACGAGACTGTCTGATTTGTCAAGCCGGCACACAGATTAGGATTCCTGCCGTCGTTAAGGGACGCCCAACACCAAAATCATCTTGGGAATTTGATGGAAAGGCAAAGAAGGCAATGAAGGTAAGAAAATTATAATTTTCTGCATTTCCCACTGACTCACTCTAAGGAATATTTACACTATAACTGACTATCTTATTTTCTAATAGGATGGGGTTCACGATATACCTGAAGATGCACAGGTAAGAAAAAAGAAAATTGAAATGATTTCAGAATCTGATTGACTTCAATACTGCTATTACTTCATTCATTGTATGACTACTGTTTTCTTTGTACAGCTGGAGACTGCTGAAAACTCATCAGTAATTATTATTCCGGAATGTAAACGATCTCATTCAGGCAAATACAGCATCACAGCCAAGAATAAAGCAGGACAAAAGACTGCAAATTGCAGAGTTAAAGTCATGGGTAAGAAAGGCTTTGAAAGTTATTATGGAATAAGAGCAAATTATTTTAAACAAGATAGCACTGTTTACATTGTGATTTGCATCCAACAGATGTACCAGGGCCACCCAAAGATCTGAAAGTCAGTGACATCACAAGGGGCAGTTGCAGACTTTCATGGAAGATGCCGGATGATGACGGAGGAGACAGGATCAAAGGCTATGTTATTGAGAAGAGGACTATTGACGGAAAAGCTTGGACTAAAGTCAATCCCAACTGTGGAAGCACCTCATTTGTCGTCCCTGACCTCATCTCTGGACAGGAATATTTCTTCCGCGTGCGGGCAGAAAACCGTTTTGGTGTTGGTGCTCCTGCGGAAACGATTCAGAGGACCACTGCCAGAGACCCGATATGTAAGTTTTTAAGTCAAAGATTAAATTAGCTTCCTAAACCTGAAATGTATTATTATAAACGATTCATACTTTATTTTTAAAGATCCTCCTGATCCCCCTATTAAACTGAAGATTGGCCTCGTAACAAAGAATACCGTACACCTATCATGGAAACCCCCGAAGAATGACGGGGGCTCCCCTGTCACCCACTATATTGTTGAGTGCCTTGCATGGGATCCTACTGGGACAAAGAAAGAAGCATGGAGACAGTGCAATAAGCGTGATGTGGAAGAACTGGAATTTACCGTGGAAGACCTCGTCGAGGGTGGGGAGTACGAATTCAGAGTCAAAGCCGTCAATGCTGCAGGAGTCAGCAAACCTTCAGCCACTGTTGGCCCCGTGATCATCAAAGACCAGACATGTATGTACCAACATGTGATTGGAGAAGGTCCTCTTTATGGATGCCTTCCTAGATACTCAAAAATCCAAAGTAAAAAGATGTCTCTGTGCATTGGAAGCTCCCATGGGTTGAGTCTGGACACGGGGCCTGTTACCTAATCACTCAGCTCCCACAGAATTATCTCATTTCCTTACATATTTTACCTTTCCTTTACTAAAAGGAGATACCGTGTAGAATTTCCTTACTCTGATTTTTCTCCACAGCAGGCTGTTTTACTTACCAGTAGATAAAACAGTTCCTCTGCATGCTCCTCAAAAGGGGCAAAAAGTAACCAGTTATTTGCTTAGCAACTGCCAGGGCACATTTATATTCACAGTCATGTCTCTTTCTCTCTACTTGAGAAAAAGAAACTTGCTCACATATCATGATAACCATGAATAATCTGAGAACAGCATCAAAGGAGAGGACTCTGAGTGTCCTTGAGTAAAGATTACATGGGTTTTATTAAAACTATATTGACTTTTCTCTGTTTGAGAAAAAGACACATCTGTTTTAAGAGAGAAAATATCCACAGAAATATGCTAATAATTCTTCCTGTAATTATTGTTACCATCTCTACTGCTGTGTATTTGTTAGTTCTCTCTTCTAAACTTAGGAAAGTGGTAGTCACCACCCACTTTGCATATTCTTATACTACATTCATGAAAAAGGGGAAATTGCTCTGCCTCTACTAGCAGTTGTATTTCTTAAAAGGAAAATTCATCTCAGAACAAAATAGGTCCCCTCATTACTCTGAATATTAGGGAATATCATAAAAGAACTCCCAAGCCTAAACTACTTACTACAGTTTCACTTCTCTCTGCCCTTTTTCAGTATCTACAATCATAATGATTCCAGGTAGGAGAGAGGCAATAGCTGATACATAGCTACATATAGGTCAATAAAGGATGATGACCACCTATGCCTGTCCCCCAAACTGGTACAAATTAGCTGAAGACAGATCTGTTCTTTATAAAT